TTTTCCTTTCTTCCTTACACAAACTTCGACAGGAGTTTAATTTACACCGTAGTGCCAATCGTCGTGGCACTTCCCAAGCTGGCAATTTCGGCATTAACTTCATCAAACTTCTTCTGCAGTTCAGCGAGTTCTTTTGACAGGACCTAAGGGATCGAATTTCAAAGTTTTTATTTGTTTTTTTTGTTTATTTGTTAGGGAAGTTATTGATTGGCAGGTATGTATTATCGTCTTATCAAATATGTATGTATTTCAAATTTCAAAGTGAAGTTGTTGTTTTTTTTTTTATTTATTTATATGTTAGGGAAGTTATTGATTGGCAGGTATATCTTATCGTCTTGTCAAATATGTATGTATTTCAAATTCCAAAGTGAAGTTTTTATTTGTTTTTTGTTTTTTTATATTTATATGTTAGGGAAGTTATTGATTGGCAGGTATGTATTATCGTCTTGTCAAATATGTATGTATTTCAAATTTCAAAGTGAAGTTTTTATTTGTTTTTTGCTTTTTTATATTTATATGTTAGGGAAGTTATTGATTGGCAGGTATGTATTATCGTTTTATCAAATGTATGTATGTGTTTTCTTATTAAGTGGAGTATATATAAAAAAAGGTAACTGGGTGTGTATTATTTTAACGAAATAAAAAGATACGTGAAGATAAGAATATGAAAATTTAGTAGAGGTGGGGGGTTGTCAATATAGTGAAATATTAGAATTTAGTGGACTTGTTTCAATATAATTCATTTATTTATTTATTTCATTTCATTTACTCAATAGCCTTACCTCGACATCCTTGTCACTGACTCCGGCGATAGGGTCAATCTGGGTTTGAACTTGTTTCACTTGTTGCTTGACCTGAAATGAAGGGAAAGCGGATATCAATATGTACAAGTATATATCATATGTGTGTGGGTGGGTGGGTGTGGCTGTGTGTGAGTTTGTGTGTGTGTGTGGGGGGGGGGGGGTAGGTGTGGTTGTGGGTGTGTATGTGTGTGAGTTTGTGTGTGTGTGAGTTTGTGTGGAATTCATGTCAAACAAATTGCAGGAAGAACAACGAAGGGAAGTTCAGGAAAACACACGAATATGCCGAAGGCCTTTTCGCATTTACTGCTTCATCAGGGCATACATAACAGGACGTGGCCTCCACGAACGACGCATAGACCAACATCGCGGCGCCCTCCGACGATACGACACGAGGAGCGCCTTCGTCGTTCACGTCGACACCGACGGCCATCTCCCTAAGTGGTCCCAGGCCTCCATCATTAAGCAAGGCCTGCCCCCACGGCAAAGGAAGATGGTGGAAGCGGCATACATACACTCAACAAACAACTTGAACACCGCAATGGGGAGCCACGAACTAGCCAAGGTCGTCGCTCACTTGATCACCAACGTGACCTGACCGCCCAGTACTTGTATATATACTTCTATGTATCTCTTGTTATGTGAGTTTGTGTGTGTGGGTGGGTGGTTAGGTATGGTTCTGGGTGTGTATGTGTGGGCGTGTGTGTGAGTTTGTTTGAGTGTGTGTGTGTGTGTGTGTGTGTGTGTGTGTGTGTGTGTGTGTGTGTGTGTGTGTGTGTCTATGTGCGTGTGTGTGTGTGTGTGTGTGATAATTCTGACTAATCAAAATACCGATAGAGTAAATAATGATGTACCCTGGCCTTTTCCCACTCTGCATCTGTCTGTAATTTCTCTCTCTCTCTCTCTCTCTCTCTCTCTTTCTCTTAATCAACAGGGGATTTTCAAAAGCTTGAATTCATGAACTTAAACCTTTATCAGGAAAACCAAAATCAATGACACTAAAAGTGCCAATTAAGAGAGAGAGAGAGAGAGAGAGAGAGAGAGAGAAACAGACAGACAGAGAGAAATGACCACCTTCATACTACTCATCAAGTAACTGAAAACAAGAACGAATATAAAATACCCTTCAGGGCAGCGCTAGTCGACGACTACAAAGCATTCGACTTTATGGAAACAGAAGAAAGAAAAGCCTTAGAAGATCAATGCACTGATAGTACATACATCAACATCTTCCATCACATATACAATACTGCCTGTTCCTCCAGACGTTTACATGGAGACTCCGAACCATTCTAGTTTAAGAGTGAAACAGGGCGACACAAACTCACTTAAAGAAACTCACCTTCACAGCTTTCTAAACCGGTCCAAGGAAGGAATGAATAACCATTGATGGGGACTCCCTTAGCTATCTTCGTTTTGCTGATGATATATAATTTGCCTAAAGCAGAGAAGTCGAGATAATGCTCAACAGATCAAACGATGCAAGTAAATCAGTGGACTTAGAATCAGCTTCAGAGGGATCAGACGAAGAAGAAAGCGTTGACAATCATACAATAGATGAAAGAATTTCTTAACCATTCAACACAAGAAAGCAAGGTAAAAATACACAAGCCGGGTTGGAAGGCTTTTGTCAGTACTATCTTCAAAAACAAAAACGTTCATATTATTCTGAATATAAAGCATATGTTTAGCGCATCCTT